TTTCAGTCACAAAAGGACAATATTGCACAGGGCCACTGTTGTGAAACAGGACTGACATCAGGGTTGGGGGGAGACTGAGAAAGATGGGTTTAATAATATATATTGAAACAGATGAGGGAAAAAACTGATTAAAAGTGATATATGATTAGGTATTATTGATGGCTGCGTGGTGGAGTGGACTTGGGGTGGGGGGATTGCATAACAATGAAAGAATTTTTCTTTTACTTTTCAAAGAGAACAGCAAACTGGGGGGTGAGGGGTGGGCAGAGAGAAAAGGGCAATAATGAATGAATAGAAATCAAAAGTCTATAAATGTTCACTAAAATAATAAATATTTTTTAAAAATAATAACAAACAAAAGGCATGCTGCACCTGGCTTATAAATATGTGAAAGGGGAAACCTGTGTTCTCACTAGGAACAGGAAGGCAGGAGTCAGTCAATTTCTCTCCTCAGTTTTGTCTGTTTTCTTCCCCTTTCTGACCTCTCACCAGCAGTCTCTATTTCTGGTTTGTCAACATTTATTTCTTTTCATCTCATAATCTACCTCACTCTGCCCTCATCCACATCTGTCTTCTCTTCAAAAAGGAAAAGGAGTGCTGATGAAAACAGAGTGGGGCAGGAGGGAATACATTAAGAACTAGAAAAGCATGCCTTAGTTTTGGGTTTTCTATTAAAATCAGAAGCTAGTTATCAAGATTGTGTTGGTAGTTTTTTAACCACCTCATATACAAACACTGAACAAGCCACTGTCTTCCTCAAGCTTCACACTCCATCTCCAAGTCCTGTGCATTCCATATCAGAAACATCTCAGGTCTCCTCCTTCTTTTAGCCCCATCTCTCCCTATAGCTCACCTACAGCTCCATTTCCTGCTACTTAGGGAGTTCTGGTGGCTTAATAGTAATAACTCGCACTGCAATCCTAAAGGCACACAGTTTGAATCTACCAGCTGTTTCATGGGAGAAGGATGAACATTCTCCTCCCATACAATTTACTGCCTCTGAAAACCCACTTAGTGGGTCTGCTGTGGGTTGGCTCAAAAGCAGGCAACAAAATACACTAACTCTATGAAAGAGATTCAGAAACTCCTAGACTTTCATTCACATTTTTATAATTCCCTGCTTTTGTAGAGGTGTTTTCTCTGCCTATAATCCATCAGATTATGAGCAAAGATTTAATCATTAAGAGCATGACTGAACTACTAATTACTGACCTGGATAAGTTATTTACCTTTTAATACTTTGTTATCATTTACAAAATGGAAATAATGGAATACTAATTCTCATATGGTTGTAAAGACTACACAAATTATAAATGTGCTCTGTATCCAGCACATAGTAAATTCTCTGTATGTGTTTAAAAAGACAACCTTGGCGAGCTCTGGTGGCCTAGTGGCAAGAAGCTGCACTGCAATCCCAGAGATGCGCAGTTCAAATCCACCAGATGCTCTGCTGAAGAAGAAGGAACAATCGCCTCCTGTACCAGTCAGATCCGATTTGACAGTACACACATAAAAAATAATAAAAAACAAAAAAAGACAACCTTCACTGGTTCCCTCCATCAGGTTTCAGAGCTATAAATTACAATAGGAGACTGCCCATCTTTCTCTTGCAGAGCTTCTGGTGGATTTGAGCTGCTAGAGATACATAGGCTTTGGGTTAGCAACACAACTCATTTGAGGAACTTCACCAGAAGAGATCCCCCTGTAAATATTAGCTATTATTCATCAACTTGGAAATGACTACTCATTCTGAGGCCTGGGCCAGAACCAGCTCATTTCCTACTAAGACTTGCCACTTCTTTCTCTGCTTTTCCACTGCTTGATACAGATCTATAATACAGTCTTTTTACTGTATTATTATCTATTTATATGTCTGTCTGCTCCAACAGATCTTGCACTTCATGAAAAGAACTTTTATTCACCTTTGTAGCTTTACTATGGAGAACATAATTTTATTGCTGTTAGGTAAGTATGACTCATAACAACTCTATAAACAAAAAATCTGAACCATGTCCTGTCCTGTGCCATCCTCACACTCTCTGACACACTCGAGCCCATCGTTGCAGTTTAGTCCGCCTATTAAGTATCTCCTTCCCTTTTGCTGTCCCTCCAATTTTGCAAGCATGATGTCCTTCTCCAAGGAACAGCAGCATATCCTAGCAACATATCCTAGCAAAGTATGTGAAACAAAGCTTTATCTTTGACTCCAAGGAGCACTTGGGCTGCAGCTTCGCCAAGACATATCTGATTGTTCTTTTGGCAGGCCATGTAATGTTGAGTAATCTTCTCTAAAACCACAGTTCAAACTAAAATAAAACCACAGTTCAAAGGCATCAACTCTTCTTCTGTCATCCTTACTCATTGTCCAGCTCTCATATGCAAACCAGTGACTGAGAAGAGCATGGGCTGAATCTAGTGCACCTTTGTCCCCAAACTGACATCTTCACTCCTCAATAATTTGAAGAGGTCCTTGACTACAGACTTTCCCAATGCAATACGTCTCCTGATTGCTGGTACTAAGTGTATAGATTATGGATCCAAGTAAGATGAAGTTGTTGACAATTTTCTCCATCTATCCTAATGTTACTTATTGGTACAGTGGTATGGATTTTTGTTTAATTAACACTGAAATGCAATCTATATTGAAGGCTGTAGTGTTTGATCTTCTGCAGGAAATGCTTCAAGTACTCTTCATCTTCAGCAAGCTAGGTTGTGTTATCTGCATAATGCCGGTTACTGATGAGTCTTCTTCTAATCCACATTCTTCTTCACAGTCCAACTTTTGAAATAATTTGCTCAGCATATAGATTGAATAGGTATGGATAAAGGATTCAACCCTGATGCACACCTTTCTGAATTTTAAGCCCGTTTTCCCTTGCTCTGTTTGCACAACAGCCTTTTGGTCTAGGTCTAGGTTTTGCACAAGCACAATTAGGTTTTAATTCTTCTCAATGTTAGCCCTAATTTGTTATGATCTACATAGTCATGTGCCTTTGCATAGTCAATAAAGCACAAATAAACATTCTTATCATATTCTTTGCTTTTAGCCAGGATTCTTCTGACATTAGCAATGATATCTCTGGTGCCATAGCCTCTTCTAAGTCCAGGTTGAGTTTCTGCTGTTCTCTGTCTATATACTGTTCTAGCAGTTCTTTAATGATCATTAGCAGTATTTTGCTTGTGTTTGATATTAACAATATTAATAATAATTTCCACATTCTGTTGGATCTCTTTTCTGGAGAATTGAAAGAAATATGGATCTCTCCCAATGAGTCAGGAAACTGATAAGAAATTTTCCAGAAAATTACTCTGGTTCCACTGAGATACTTGTACTTTTCAGGCATGCTAGTTGCTTTATGACCATATGCCTAAGTCCATGGAATTGATGACTCTGCATTGTGGTGCTAGCAATGAATACTGATTATACCATGGACTGTCAAAAGAACAAATTCTTCCTGGAAGAAGTACAGTCAGAATGCTCCTTAGATACGAAGATGGTGAGATCTCTCTCACATACTTTGGGCATGCATGATAAAGTTGAGGGTTATAAAAGGAAGGCCGTTAGGGATATACATGGACACAGTGGTTACAGCAATGGGCTTAAGCACAGCAGAGATTTTGAGGATGGCCCGAGATTGGACAATGCTTCATTCTGTTGTGCATAGGGTCACGCAAAAGCATCTATCAAAAACAACAATAAAGTCTTTACTAACCAGATCTTTTCCCTCCACTAGACGTAGCTTTGAGCTGTGGTAGCTTACTGTTAAGGAGCTACACTACCAACCCAAAGGCATGTAGTCAAATCCACCAGTTGTTCCAGGAGAGAAAAAATGAGCACTCTCCTCCCACGTGATTTACTGCCTCTGAAAACCCACTGAAGGGTCAACTATGGTTGGTTCCAAAGAATGATATACAACTAGACATATCTTTGAGAATTCATTGTCTCATGACTTCAGCTATTACCAGCTAATATATCTTAAAAACATTACTCTGTAGGTCCTTACCCTTAAACAGTCAATAGATTTTGTCTTTGGTCTCAAATTAATAGTTAATAAGGGTTGAGAACTTCTGAAGCAAATACATAAACTTCTGAGGAAGGTCCATACCCATTTATTGAAGGGAAAACACAAAGTCTGTTCACTAACCTAGAATGAATGCTGAAGGTTCTTACTACTTAAGAAACACAGGGGCAACCACATGATTGTGATGAAGGTCTGATGCTATTTTAAAAAAAAAGAAAGAAAAGAAAGATAGGGGCAGGATCTATCTTTTTCACTGATGCTTTGGTTCCTTAATATAAAACTGATACATGTTTAAAAAGAATTGTAGAAGCAGCAAAGTTGTTAATATGTGCTAGGCTTCAGCAAGGTAATGCACAGGTGAACATCAAGCAGGAGAAATAACTTTATTTGGACTGAGAGCTGGAGAATGGAAGCAGGACCTGAGATAACCATCCTAAGCTAGAGAGTAGAGCTGAGGTTCCAAAATGGCACTCAGAGCTCACCAACCAAACAGACTCCACTTCCCAACAGGCTTGTTGTTAGTGTTAATGATAGAAGCCCTCAAGGGAAAGCTATCTGCCACACTACTGAAGTGGGCTACTCTCACATAAAAAGTACAAGAGTTTGGCTTTTATAAAATACATATTTTGTAATTC